AATCACCGTCGTCCCCACGAGCCGCCCAACCGGGACCCCCGGAGGTGCCAAAACTGCCCGATTCAGAGATGCCTCGGCCGCCGACTACCGTGCCAAAGACTGCACAGACGCCGGAACCGGAAGAAAAGGACAGGCGCAAAACACCAGGCAAGCGGACGGCCCGGGATGACCGACACGAAGAGACAGCGACACCGCGGAGGGAGAGGGACGGCACACGGTGTTATAGCCAAACGGCGACAAGCCTGGACAGCGCCCACGCAGCACAGGCTGACCCCTGTGGACAAGCAAGGGCGCCTCCCGCGGCACGCTCTCCTGCTGACAAATTCCAACGGCCTGTCCAGTCGCCACATCCGCGTGACTGCGCCCAACAACGAACTGCGGAACAGGCGGAGGCGCCACAACGAGAATTAACGGCTGCAACCCGGGAATCACCGGAGTCGGTTACAACCCCACCCCGCTTCGCACCCACGCCGCCCCTGAGTGCAACAAGGGACCCCCTACACTCGACGGACGTGCGACACGCGGACGCGAAGCCGGGAACACCAGGGCCCACTGGGGGGGCAAACGCGAACGGGGAGGGAGCAACTCTCCATAGCAAGCCGGGCAGGCCAGCGTACCAACCGTACCGGACCACACGAGACCCGACGCCGATTCCGCAGCAGCGCAACCAGCCGAGCCAAAACCCAGAACGGGACCTCCGCGCGACGACTGGAGCTTCGTCACCCCGGAGACGCTCAGGCAGCCCATCCCGGGGACCGTTTGTCAGAGAAGGGAAGGCGAAGCCCGCGGAAGGGAGCCTACCAGCGGAAACCGCGCCCCGGCGTGAAGACGAGGCACCCGAGCGGCCCTTGGGGTACTGGGCATCCCGCGTGCAGCGCCGGAACGCGGAACTTGCGGAATCGACGGCCCCAAGTGACTCCCTGCAATCAGAAGGGACCTCACAGGACCTGATGGTCCCCCACGTGTACCGGCCGTACTCCACCAACCGTGCATCGACACCAAATCCAAAACGGAGCTCATCTCCCCATCCGCGCAACAAAACGGGAGCAGACCCCACGCTAGGCAGAGCACCCGGGAGTCCCCGCGACTCCCCAATCCGAAGATCTGAAGGTCGGGCAATCTCCTCACGTCCCTTTCGGCCCAACAACTCGACTGACGAGGGCTCAGCCGCAGCAGCACAGCCGCAGCAGTAGCGGGGAGAGCAATGAACCGGCACTGAGGGCTGTAGAGACGTGCTGCGAATCGACAGCGTGCGGGAGAGGTCCTCAAGTGCCGCTGCTACCAGCCCGCATAGCGCCCCTCTTGCGACGAACAAACGAACCAAGCGGGAGACCGCGGGCAAGCGGCAACACCAACGGGAGACGGGCGATCGCACGGTCCCGCGCCGTTGCAAGAAGCGTGGCAGCGGCGGCGGGCCAAGGTAGTTTAGAAGCAGACGCGCTCATAAAAGTCGCGTCCAGCAACTGCAGATCGTGGGGGGCGAGACAAGGCCCCAGATCGCTGGAAGACATAACGCGGGGCATAGACGCCGAAGACCCCGATATAATCCTATTGCAGGAGACGTGGTTAGATGCAACAAAGCCCACACCATTTGTCCCCGGCTACGTCACGTACCGACGGGACCGCCCGGGACATAAAAAGGGAGGAGGCTTGTTGATATTGGTGAAGTCCTCCATCTGCTCTCGGCAGATCGAGGAGCACGACTTCGGAGCGGACGGATTGATGGAATGTCTGGGTGTCGAACTTGACCGGGTGAATCTTCCGAAGCTGAAACTGTACAACGTATACAGACCACCGGAAGAAGGTGCGTCGCTAAACATGGGGCCTCTTGAAGGGGACGAACACGTAGTGATCAGTGGGGATCTGAACACAAGGCACCCGTCATGGTGCCCATCCGGCCAGTCAAACGCTGCCGGAGTGACGCTTCACGGATGGTTGTCGCTGAGACAGACGACGGTCTGGAACGACCCAGGGACACCGACTCGGGACGAGTCCAAAACGTCGCCAGATGTCACGATCTCGGCCGCACACCCGCACGCTGTGTTCAACTGGCGGACGATCGAATCTTGGGGGTCGGACCACCGCACTCTCATCTTCGAAGTGCCCCGCGGATACGAGCACAAGAGGGAACAGATCCGACCTCGCTACGCCTGGAGCCGTGCCGACTGGAAAGGGATGTCCAAATACCTTGAAAAAGACAGCACCTGGTCCCAAACCGAGTACGAGCAGAATAAGGAAAGCCCACAGCGCCTCGCCGACGCCATTTCTGACCGGATGAAAGGGGCCATCAGTCGATACGTCCCGAAGGCGTCGGGCAACAAACCACCGAAACCGTGGTGGACGAAAACGCTGACTCCTCTTTCGCGCCGGAAGGACGTTGCATTCAAACGGATGCAGAAGGAAGACAACGAAGAAACGGGGATGGCGTACACGGAGGCGAAACAGGCGTTCACGAAAGCCGCAACGGAAGCGAAGGCGGACTACTGGGACCGTCTAGTCAGCACGATCGACCACAGGACTGATCTGGGCCTCATGTTCCGGCTGGTACGGCAGCTAGATGGGAAGAAGTCGAAGCACACGCTCCCTCCATTGAAACACGAGGGAGTCACCATCACGGACTCGAAAGAGAAGGCGAACGTTCTCGTGAGGCACCTTGCGACCATCTGCAGGAAATCGGAACGCAGCGTGGCAGGCCCGGACTTGACTCATCAAGCCACAGAAGCCGCCGAAGGCGCACAACTGAACTCGCAGTCCGAAGCCGATACGCCGATCACCTTAGAGGAGGTGAACAGAGCGATCGAAAAGCTGAAGAAGAAAACGAGCTTGGACCCGGAGGGGCTTTGCCACATGGCCTACAAGCGCCTAGGCGAAGGTATGCGGCTCCGCGTACTGGACCTATGCAACGCATCTTGGAACAACGCAAGTGTTCCCTCCCAGTGGCGACAGGCACACGTGACACCGCTCCCGAAGCCGGGCAAAGACCGCTCGGAGCCATCGGGCTACCGGCCGATTTCGCTCACGAGCATAGCATCGAAGATAATGGAGACCATTATCAAGGACCGCCTCACATTCCTCATCGAAGGAGACTCCTCGGTCCGCGCGTTCACGCCGAACCAGGGGGGCTTCCGGATAGGGAGAGGCACGGAGGAGCAGCTGTACACCGTAACGGCGGCAATCGACCGGAACCGAAGGAAAGGCCGGTACACGTGCCTACTCGTCTTCGACCTGGCGCGCGCTTTCGACACAGTCGACCACGCGCGCCTGAAGAAACGAATGGTAGAGCGGGGCCTCCCGCTGAAGCTCATTCGATGGGTGGAGTCCTTCCTCAAGGGCAGAAACGCGATCTTCCGAGTGGACGGTGAGTACGGCGCCTCGGCGGAACTTGAGGGCGGTGTTCCGCAAGGGTCTGTACTGGGACCAATACTGTTCCTGCTGTACATCGACGACCTCGGGGACGACCTGGCGAAGCTGAAGGACTCAACGGCCTCGCTCTTCGCCGACGACGTAGGCGTAGTAGCGACGGGCAAAACGATGGCGGAGATGGCGAAGAACGTGCGTCTGATAATACAGGCGATGGAAAAGTGGTCGGACGAGGCGCTGATGCAGCTATCGCACGCAAAGACGGAGGCGATACTGTTCAAGCGCCCCGGAAACCCTGACGCGTCGCCGCCGACGATAGAGTTCCCGGCAACCCGAGCGAACGTGGCGATCCGCGCGGACGCGTACAAAAGGAGAACGAGGAAGCACGGTCGCACGGCTCGTCGGCTGTTTGCACCACAGAGCCAACACCACGAAAAGCGAGTGACCGGACTGAACGGAAAGGCGGCTCGCACCCTGCAAGAGAGAACAATTGCGGAGGAGAGCATCGGAGAGGGCTCCGACCGGCTGACGATCTCCCTGGTGAGGGAACTCGAATGGAAGAAGACCGTCACCCTACTGGGTCTAACCTTCGACGAGGAACTGACATTCGACCAGCATGTCAGCCGAGTGACGGCGGGCGCGGCCAAACACGCGTGCGTTCTCAGGCTTGTATCCGGTGCGGCATGGGGTCATCGTACGAAGACGCTCCGCTCGCTATACTACACCTACGTACTCCCGAAGATGACGTACGCCCTGTCGGTATACGGCGCCTTTGCCAGACCGACGACCATGGCGAAGCTGGAGAGCCAGCACAAGGCCGGGCTTTGCGCCGTCACGGGATGCAGACGCTCGGCATCCGTGGAGGCCGTTTCGATTGAGTCGCGAGTGCAGCCAATCTCGGTCTATGCCGAACTTCGACTTGCAACACTGTGCGAGAAGCTGGCGACCTACCCGCAGTGGCGGGACACCCTGGTCCCCACAAACAAGCACGACACGATCGCCGTCAAATACGGACTCCTGAAGAGGCGCGCGCGGACGGAAGACGTCGACAGGCAGACCCGCAAGGCGAACCCGTTCGCGCCGTGGGAGCCACGGTGCCCCAAAGTGCACATCTCGGCAACACTGAGGAAGAAGTCGGAGGACGTGGAGGCGAACAGAAGGGTAGTGGAACGTGTGTTAGCCGCCCTGCCGACGCCGCTCTTGGTAACCTGGACCGATGGCTCTGTTGTTGAGGAAACCACAATGGAACCGGCGCTAACAGTCCTCAACGGCACAACGGAACCGACACCCACGGAGACGAAATGGGGAGGAGCCGGGTTTGCCATCGAATCCGGAGATAATTGGTCGATACGGAGAAGCGCGCAAGACGATCTTCCCTGGTGGGCGACGAACAGCGGTCCGGCCGGCAAGTGGGCGACAAGCTACCGGGCGGAACAGGTGGCGATGCAGAGAGCCCTGCGCGTCCTCGTGGGCAGTCTGAGCAGGAGGAACGGCGAAACCCTGTGGATACTGACTGACTCGAGCTCGCTCCTCCAGGACCTCGACCATGGACCACATCGGAAAAGTCATGTTAGACCTAGGATAGGAACTACAAAAGGCTACAAAAAGCTGAAAGCCTGTGTGGTTCGGACCCAAAAAAGTGCGAGGTGCCAGGATCGAACTGACGACCTTAGGATTATGAGACCTACGCGCTCCCGACTGCGCCAACCTCGCTGATGCACAAAAAAAAACAAAATTTCTGTTCTGTTCTGTAGGGCGGAACGAAGCCCGGGCAAGACGAGGCTAGACGGTCTCTAACGGGCAAGCGTACAGTGGTTCTTTGTGCCACCATTTACTCCGTTGTGTTGTTTGTGATGGAGTGATGACTACTACTTGTTCGTTTTTCGGTTTTTTGTTTCACGTAAATTGTTTTTCCTTCTGGCAACGGTTCTTGGTTCTCGTTATTGGGTTCGCTTTCTGGTAATGGTTTTCGGTTTACGTAAATTGGTTCACTTTCTGTTAACGGTTTTCGGTTCACGTAAAAGTTTGAGGTCCTACTCCAAGTCCGAGGGCGTGGTCAGGGCGCGCAGCTTTTCATGTTTCAATGCTGTCTCCTCCGTGCCGTACCTTCTCGGGTGAGCATCGGACCTCAGTTTTGTTTGCGTTGTTTACGGGTTCAGGTTCTCTTCTTCTCTCGTTCGCCATTTGTTTTCGCTTCGCTTTGCCTTCGTTTCGTCGCTCTTCGAGGTTGCTTCGACGTCGGGGGTCGGCCGTCACGCAGTCACGGTCATGACTGTTCCTCGGACGCGCTCTCGTGGGCCGGGGGGGTTGTCCCTCCGACGGACGAGGCGGGGCCCGGTATGCGGTGGTTGAGTCGGGGCCGAGTCCGATTACGGGCGTGATAAACCGCTGGCCTCGAGTTCGCGTGTTTGTGTCGCGGTTCTCATGGCGGGCGGGCGGGATTCGGTGGGCTACTCGTCGGGTGTGGTCGGCACGAGTATCCGGTACTCCTCCAGCAGTCCGGTCCCTTGCAGGTACTCGAGTGCCGTCTCCGGGTGCTCGAACAGCAATCTCCACAGCTGTTCGTGTCTCGGTATCCACACCGGTTGGCCACCCTCCCGCCGTAACGGGGAGGCCACTTCCCACATCAGGTCACGCTTCCCTTGCGTCCCCTCATGGCCGCAGTCCAAGAAAAGGTGCGAGACCGGGCATTCGGCTACCTCTCCGCAATGCGGGCAGGGACGATTCGAGCTCCGTTCGGTCTTCGCTAACGCGTCGTAGTCCTCCCGGCACCAATTGCGAAGGAGGCGGTGCTGGCCCGTGCGGATCTGCCTGATCTCACGCTCGGCCCGTCGCGTGAGGTGATCAATTTTCGGGAGTTTCCTCCCGTTGACGATCTGCGCGTGTGCGAGTTTCCCGTCGTAGTGGGAGCCCAACTCCGGGTGGGCCTTCAGCCAGTGTGAGACTTAGCTATAGCTAGCTGATAGCTAGCTATAGCTAGCTAGCTATAGCTGAAAATAGCTAAAATAGCTAAAATAGCTGACTGAGCATTTTCAACGGAAATGTCACTATTCCGACTATTTTCTCGGATTTTGTGCCGTTTTCCACAGTTTACCGGGATTTTTCAGGCAGATGATCAGCATGAGGTTCACACCGTGCTACCCGCCCCCCCCCCCCCCCCCCCCCCCCCTAACACTAGAGGCAAGTAGCGCCTGAACACGAAACTAAGATTTCCCCCCCCCCCCCTTACACTCCCTGCGACCCTTTTCCCTTTCCCCTATTTTATTTTACACTTTCTTCGACGAAGACTTGATGCTAGCATCAAACATGCATGCGAGGCAGTACTCTGCCTAAACATTAAACTAAGTTTTTCCCCCCGGGCCCCCTTCATCGGGCTTCCCCCCTGTAGACTACTGCACAGTAGGACTGGACCTGGGTGGCTTGCTGCACTCTGGCAGTCTCTGCTAACAATGCTGGTAGACTTGTATCGTAGTGCCTGGGGGGAAACCCGACGCACCACAAACAATCCTTTTCATTTCCGGGTCCATTTCTCGCATCGGAGCTGATCGCGAGCAGGAATTCGAAAAACGTCTGCCACGTGGAGTCACGGTGGACCAGCCAAGAAATGTCACCAGCCAGGGATCGATTCCTGTCCTTCCCACTGCAAACCTGTGGTTTCCAAGCCCGGTGCTCTGCATCTTGTAAGAACCCACGGACCACGCACATACTGGATGGTCCCTGGTCTATTTTTCACGGATCTCTTCATCGAGCTGATCGCGAGCAAAAAGTCGTCGAAAAAGGTCTGCTGCGTGAACCAGCAACATAATGCCACCACCAGGGGATCGATACCCGTCCTGCTCAATGCACACCGGGTGGTTTCTACGCCCGGTGCTCTGCATCCTATAAGAACCCACGGACCACGCACGTAGTGTTTGATTCCCGGGTCTATTTCTCACGGATCTCTTCATCGAAGCTGATCGCGAGCAAAAAGTCGTCGAAAAAGGTCTGCTGCGTGAACCAGCAACATAATGCCACCACCAGGGGATCGATACCCGTCCTGCTCAATGCACACCGGGTGGTCTCCAAGCCCGGTGCTCTGCATCCTGTAAGAACCCACGGACCACGCACGTAGTGTTTGATTCCCGGGTCTATTTTTCACGGATCTCTTCATCGAAGCTGATCGCGAGCAAAACTTTGTCGACAAAGGTCTGCTACGCGGACCAGCAACAGAATGCCACCAGCCAGGGGATCGATACCGTCCGTGTTCAATGCACACCTGATCAGGCTGGTGGTTTCTACGCCCGGTGCCCTGCAAATTGTAAAAACTACTGACCACGCACATAGTTTTCTGTCTCCGGGTCTATTTTTCACGGATCTCTTCATCGGAGCTGTTCGCAAGCAAAAATTCGTCGGAAAAGGTCTGCTATGTGGACCAGCGGGAAAATGTCGCCAACCAGGGGATCGAAACCCGTTCTTCCCAGTGCACACCGGTGGTTTCCACGCCCGGTGCCCTGCATCTTGCACGGACCCACGAACAATGCACATACTTTTTCGTTTCCGGGTCTATTTTTCACAGTTCTTTTCATCGGAGCTGATTGCGAGCAAAAATTCGTCGAAAAAGGTCAGCTACATGGACCAGCGGGAAAAAGTTACCAACCAGGGGGTCGATACCCGTCTTGCTCGATGCCCACCTGGTGGTTTCCACACCCGGTGCCCTGCATCATGCACGGACCCACGAACCACGCGCATACTTTTTCGTTTTCGGGTCTATTTTTCACGGATCTCTTCATTGCAGCTGATCGCGAGCTAAAATTCGTCGAAAAAGGCCTGCCGCGTGGTCCGGCGGGAAAATGCCACCACCCAGGGGATCGATTCCCGTCCTTCTCAATCCACACGTGGCGGCTTCCACGCCCGGCGCCCTGCAACTTGTAAAGGGCCCCGAACCACGCACATAGTTTTTCGTCTCCGGGTCTATTCTTCACGGATCTCTTCATCGGAGCTGAAAACGAGCAAAAACTCGTCGAAAAAGGTTTGCTACATGGACCAGCGGGAAAATGTCACCAGCCAGGAAATCGATACCCTGCACACGCCGTGACACGGCCCGGAGAGGGCGGGGGGGGGGTACCAGGGGGGGGTTGGGCGACTCTGAAAACGAGAACGAGGCAGAAAATCTGGTTTCGTCGCAATTTTTTTTTGCATTTTTGGGCACCTACCTGAGGTTTTCTGACGAAAAAGACGTGAACATATTTTCAGTCGTCTGGGCAGCTATTTTAGCTATTTTAGCTATAAATAGCTAAAAATAGCTAGCTGGCCAAATAGCTAGCTAAGTCTCACACTGCTTCAGCACGCCTGCCGACCACCTCTTCTGCACATAGCTCTTGTGCCTGGCCGCCGCCGTCGATCGCGTGAGCGGGGGACGGGGTCCCCTTTCTCCTGGCGAGCTGGCGCCGGTCTTCGCCCGGGTATCCGCTTCGTCGTTCCCGGCCAGTCCACAGTGGCTGTAGACGAACGGGAGGTGGATGGTGTACCCACGATCGGCGAGCTTGCCCAGCAGCTGCCAGATCTCGATGTTGGCTGGGTCGACTTGGCAAAAAAAAGCCGAAACGAAAACGGCCCTGAAACCGCCTCACTGACTGGCTCACACTCAACGGCAGTGCGAAAGTGTCAGCCGTACAGTAACATTACAATTCAATTGTATTATCACCCATTCCACGAAAAAGTGTCACAGATTTTCCGTCTGAAAAGCAGCCCGTTTTGGGTCAAAATTTTGGAATTTTTGGGAAATTTTTTTTGGGATGGAAAGAGCTATCCCTGGCGATTATGGGCAAGCAATCAGCTCGCGTGGCGACCAAAATCTGGCGTGCAGATGGACAAAAGGTCGGTTTTGGGGCTGTTTCCCCATAGCTGTCAGCCACAAGGTAGCCACTAGTGGCTAATTGGGAGCCACAAAGTAGCCACAAACCTTGTGGCTACCTTTGTGGCTAATTGTGCAAAATTTTGATACCGAGGAAAACCACGTGAAACTAGTTTTTTCGGCCAGAAAATGCATCTAAAACACAATTTCTGATGATTTTGACAGGTTTTTGGGCCCGAATTAGGGTAAGCTGCTTCGCCCTGGCCTCGTATCCTCAGCCGCGAGTCAGCGGCAACGTTGGCAACTCTATCAGTAACTTCGTACAACACTGCAAGTAATTCAAGGCTTGAAAAGTTCAGAAAACAACAACAAGCTGCTGCATCTTGCCAACACGGTCGCAGCACCAATGCTAATGCCATAGTTCTGGTACATTTTGAGTCAGAGAGTGCACCGGAGGAAGACGAACCCGTCGAAAGCGATGTTGATATTTCAGACCGCAGAGTCAGTACGAAGCTGCCAATGCTTGGAATCAATTTAGTTCAAAGGGTCGCTTGTCCGCAAACCCGTTTCAGTTGCGGGGTGCATAGTCTCCAACTTTTCCTGCTAAAGGACCCAAACCACGCCGGTGACAGCCGTACTAGTAACGGCGATGCACTGATATTCTAAGATACCCAAGGTTAACAGGACAGCAACGACCCAGCAAACGGAGCATTTCACAATTACGACAGCTCTTCTACTCGGTGTGCAAGCTACCCCGTCACCAGCGAGTTTGCTTGCTTGCTTGCAAAGTGCACAGAGCTCGCAACTTCACACGACAGCAGGCATAGTTACTATGATAGTACAGCAGGAGCACACTGACAGTGTGACTGACTCCCTGTAA